AATATGACACTTGCCCTTGAGAACTGTATTGTTATTACACCATGTTAAAGGAGTATACATAAAGGGTGGATATTAGTTGACTTTGATGTAATGATAAAAAAAAATCTAATCAAGTGGGTTAAATGGATCCAAATAAGTGGATATCTGATCTTAGAAAATGTATTGAGAAAGGAGGAGGCAGACAAGGGTAAATTACATTACAGGAAAAGACACAAAATCCTATTACAGCAGAGGGAAAGAAGGGGGGGGGAGCATTGTTTGAACCTTACTCTCATCAGATTTGGCTCAAGAAGGGCATAACATAATCAGTTAGGTATAGAAATCTAACTTGCCCTATAGGCAGTAGGAGGGAAAAGGGGAAAGAAAAGGGAGGGGGAAAGAAGGGAGGGAAGAAGCAGTAAGGTAAAGGGGAAGAAAAGGGAAAGGGATAATAAAGGGAGGAGGGACTGAAGGAGGTGGTCAAAAGCAAAACACTAGTGAAGGGGGAAAGGAAAAAGGAGAAAGAAAAGCATAAAGGGGGAAAAGGATGGAGAAAAAGACACAGATAGTAATCATAACTGTGAATGTGAATGGGATGAACTCTCCCATAAAATGGAAAGGATTGCAGAATGGATTAAAAACCATAATCCTACAATATGTTGTTTACAGGAAACACATTTGAAAAAGAGTGACACATACAGGGTAAAGGTAAAAGGCTGGAGCAGAATATATTATGCTTCAGCTGAAGTAAAAAAAGCAGGGGTAGCAATCCTGATCTCAGACAAAGCAAAAGCAAAAATAGATCTAATCAAAAGAGATAAGGAAGGAAACTACATCCTGCTAAAAGGCACCATAGACAATGAAGTAATATCATTACTAAACATATATGCACCAAATGGTATAGCATCCAAATTCTTAGAGAGTTCAGGGAGTTACAGGAAGAAATAGACAGCAAAACTATACTAGTGGGGGACCTGAACCTCCCCCTCTCTGCACTAGATAATCTAACCACAAAATAAACAAGAAAGAAGTTAAGGAGGTGAATAGAACATTAGAAAAGTTAGGTATGATAGATCTGTGGAGAAAACTGAATGGGGATAGAAAGGAATATACTTTTTTCTCAGCAGTACATGGCACATACACAAAAATTGACCATGTACTAGGGCATAAAAACCTCACAATCCAATGCAGAAAGGCAGAAATATTAAATGCATCCTTTTCAGATCATGATGCAATAAAAATTATATGTAATAAAGGGCCATGGAAAGATAGACTAAAAAATAATTGGAAACTAAATAATCTAATCCTAAAAAATGATTGGGTCAAACAACAAATCATAGAAACAATCAATAATTTCATTCAAGAGAATGACAATAATGAGACAACATACCAAAACTTATGGGATGCAGTGAAAGCAGTTCTTAGGGGAAGTTTTATATCTCTAAATGCTTACATAAATAAAATAGAAAAAGAGGAGATCAATGAATTGGGCATACAACTAAAAAAACTAGAAAAAGAACAAATTAAAAATCCTCAACTAAACACCAAATTAGAAATATTGAAAACCAAAGGAAAAATTAATAAAATTGAAATTAAGAAAACTATTGAACTAATAAATAAAACTAAGAGCTGGTTTTATGAAAAAAAAAAACAATAAATAGATAAACCTTTGGTTAATTTAATTTTAAAAAAAGAAAGAAGAAAACCAAATTACTAGTATCAAGAATGAAAAGGGTGAAGCTACCACCAAGGAAAAGAAAATTAAAACAATAATTAGGAATTATTTTGCCCAACTATATGCCAACAAATTTGACAATCTTAGTGAAATGGATACATATTTACAAAAATATAAATTGCCCAGATTAACAGAAGAGGAAGTAAAATACTTAAATAACCCCATCTCAGAAAAAGAAATTGAACAAGCCATTGATGAACTCCCTAGGAAAAAATCTCCAGGGCCAGATGGATTTACATGAATTCTATCAAACATTTAAAGAACAATTAATTCCAATACTATATAGACTATTTGGGAAAATAGGTGAAGAAGGAGTCTTACCAAATTCTTTTTATGATACAAATATGGTGTTGATACCTAAACCAGGAAGAGTCAAAATAGAGAAAGAAAATTATAGACCAATTTCTCTAATGAATATAGATGCAAAAATTTTAAACAAAATACTAGCAAATAGATTGCAGCAACTTATCACAAGAATAATACACTATGACCAGGTAGGATTTATACCAGGAATGCAGGGTTGGTTCAATATTAGGAAAACTATCAGCATCATTGAGCATATCAACACCAAAACCAACAGAAACCACATGATCATCTCAATAGATGCAGAAAAAGCTTTTGAAAATACAACACCCATTCCTATTAAAAACACTAGAAAGCATAGGTATAAATGGAGTCTTCCTTAAAATAATAAATAGCATCTATCTAAAACCTTCAGCAAGCATTATATGTAATGGGGACAGGCTAGAAGCATTTCCAATAAGATCGGGGTGAAACAAGGATGTCCATTATCACCACTGTTATTCAATATTGTACTGGAAATTAGCTTTAGCAATAAGAGAAGAAAAAGAAATTGAAGGCATTAGAATAGGCAAAGAAGAAACAAAGCTATCACTCTTTGCAGATGACATGATGATATACTTAGAGAATCCTAGAGAATCAAGTAAAAAACTACTTGAAATAATAAACAACTTTAGCAAAGTTGCAGGCTATAAAATAAACCCACATAAATCATCAGCATTTCTATATATTACCAACAAAGCCCAACAGCAAGAGATAGAAAGAGAAATCCCATTTAAACTTACTGTAGACATTATAAAATATTTAGGAGTCTACCTCCTGAAACAAACCCAGGAACTCTATGAACACAATTACAAAACACTTTTCACACAAATAAAATCAGATCTAAATAATTGGAAAAACATCAGTTGCTCATGGGTAGGCCGAGCTAATATAATAAAAATGACAATCCTACCTAAGCTAATTTACTTATTCAGTGCCATACCAATCAAACTACCAAAAAATTATTTTATAGAGTTAGAAAAAATAATAACAAGATTCATTTGGAAAAACAAAAGGTCCAGAATATCAAAGGAACTAATGAAAAGAAATGCAGGGGAAGGTGGCCTAGCAATTCCAGATCTTAAATTGTATTATAAAGCAGCAATCATCAAAACTGCTTGGTACTGGCTAAGTAATAGGGAGGTGGATCAGTGGAATAGGTTAAATATGCAAGACACAGTAGTCAATGACTATAGCAATCTATTATTTGATAAACCCAAAGACCCCAGCTTCTGGGATAAGAAACCACTCTTTGAAAAAAAACTGCTGGGAAAACTGGAAAAGAGTATGGCAGAAACTAGGCATAGACCCAAATCTCACACCATATACCAAAATAAAGTCAAAATGGGTTCATGACTTAGATATAAAGGCTGATACCATAAGTAAACTGGGAGAACAAGGAATAGTTTACCTATCAGATCTATGGAGAACAGAAGAATTCATGACCAAACAGGAGATAGAAAACATTATGAAAAGCAATAATAATGATTACATTAAATTGAAAAGTTTTTGCACAAACAAAGCCAATGCAACTAAGATTAGAAGGAAGGTAGAAAATTGGGAAAAACAACCATTCTCTGATAAGGCCTCATTTCTAAAATAATAGAGAATTAAGACAAATTTATAAGAACACAAGCCATTCCCCAATTGATAAATGGTCAAAGGATATGAACAGACAGTTCTCAGATGAAGAAATTAACCATCTATAGTCATATGAAAAAATGCTCTAAATCATTATTGATTAGAGAAATGCAAATCAAAACAACTCTGAGGTACCACATCACACCTATCAGATTGGCCAACATGACAAAACAGGAAAATGATAAATGTTGGAGAAGATGTGGGAAAATTGGAACACTAATACATTGTTGGTGGAGTTGTGAAATGATCCAACCATTTTGGAGAACAATTTGGAACTATGCCCAAAGGGCTACAAAAATGTGCATACCCTTTGATCCAGCAATAGCACTTCTAGGGCTATATCCCAAAGAGATCAAACAAATGGGAAAAGGACCCACATGTACAAAAATATTCATAGCAGCTCTTTTTGTGGTGGCAAAGAATTGGAAATTGAGAGGATGCCCATCAATTGGGGAATGGCTGAGCAAGTTGTGGTATATGAATATGATGGAATACTATTGTGCTATAAGAAATGATGAACAGGCTGACTTCAGAAAAACCTGGAAAGACTTGTATGGACTGATGCTGAGTGAAATCAGCAGAACCAAGAAAACTTTGTACACAATAACAGCCACGTTGTGTGATGACTAATACTGATAAACTTAACCCTTCTCAGTCTTACAAGCATTTAAGACATCTCCAGAGGCCTCGTGATGGAAAATGCTATCCACATCCAAAGAGAGAACTGTGAAAGTTGTATAGCTATCATTTTTTTTCTCTTCTGTTGAGTTTTGTTTCCTCTTTCTGATGGTTCCTGCTATTGGTTTTAATTTTTACTTACAATTTCAGTAATGTGAAAATATGTTTAATAGGAATGTAAACGTATAGCCTGTATCAGATTGTGTACTGTCTTGGGGAGGATGGTGGGGATGAAGGGGAAGAAAAATTTTAAACTCAAAAGCATATGGAAGTGATTGCTGATAAATTATAATAAACTAATATTTTTTTAAAAAATCTAATAAAATGAAATACATTAGTGATAAATATAAGCTTCCACATTTGAATTCAAAAAATAAATCAACTCTCCACTTCTAGGGTTTTAGAAGCCTGGGTATATAATAGTTGATACGAAGAACTCTAGGGAAGGGAGGAGTGGTGGTAGTAGACTGAAAGGTCAATATAAATAAACAAGATGATATTACAGGAAAAAAAAACACATTCAATCTCACTGTGGAGTTATAGAATTCAGGATAATCTTACCGTACTAGATACTGGTCAGACAAAATCTGGAGTATTACTTTAAATTCTGAACTTTACATTTTAGGAAGAATATTAAACTGGAGATTCTGATGAAGGCAACTAGGAAGGAGAAAATCATGCAAAGAGGTATTGAAATTAAATGAGGGAATTTGGTGTTGGGTTGAGCCAAGATGACAGAGAGAAGCCAGGAGGTCCCCTGAGTTCTCTCCAGTTTTCCTCAGAAACAATATTAAATTGAGCCTCTAAATGGATTCTGGAGTGATGGAACCCACGTGGGTAAAAGGGGAGTGCAGCCCAGCACATTTGGTATCTGGCCAAGCCAGTGGGAGGCTCTTAGCCACAGCATAGATCAGCAACTGAGGCCCCTCGGTCCTGTCTCAGCAGGCCAGCAATGAAGCCTCTAGCCCCAGCACAGAAGGCAAATTGTAAGCCCTGGAACCTTGAAACAATAGGTGTGACTAGGCCAGGCCACTCCCAGTGCAGTGGGCAAGCCACAAGCACCAGAGGTCTTGCTGTGGAAAGCCACTGACCAGGCCCCTGGCCCCCAGCATAAGAAGCCTGGGAGAGAGCCCCTTGTGCCCCAGGAGCAGAGCTCAATGTTAAAAGTCATGAAATAGGCTTAAAAATGAGTAAGGAATAGAAGAAAGCCCTGATCATAGAAAGCTACTATGGCAACAAGGAAGATCAAAACACAAACTCAGAAGAGGACAATGTCACATTGCCTGTATGTGAAGCCTTAAAGGGGAATATGAATTAGTCTCAAACCGAAAAGGTTCTTTTTTTTCTTTTTTCTTTTTAGGCAATTGGGGTTAAGTGACTTGCCCAGGGTCACACAGCTAGTAAGTGTCAAGTGTTTGGTCTGAGGCCCAATTTGAACTCAGGTCCTCCTGACTTCAGGGCCAGTGCTCTATCCACTGAGCCACCTAGCTGCCCCCTCAAAAGTTCTTTTGAAAGAGCTCAAAAATATTTTAAAAATCAAGTAAGAGAGGTAGAAGAAAATTTGGGAAAAGAAATGAGAGTTATGCAGGAGAATTATGAAAAAAGAGTCAAAAGCTTGGAAAAGGAGCACAAAAAATTGACTGATGGAAACAGCTCCTTTAAAAAATAGAATTGGCCAAATGGGGAAACAATCCACAGAAGAAAATGAACCCTTTAAAATGAGAATTGGCCAAATGGAAAAGGATGTACAAAAGCTAAATGAAGAAAATATTTTCTTAAAAATAAATTTGGGCAAGTGGAAGCTAATAACTCTATGAAACTTTAAAAATCAGTCAAGCAAAATCAAAAGAACAAAATAATAGAAGAAAATATAAAATACCTCATTGGAAAAAAGAACTGACTTGGAAAATAGATCCAGAAGAGATAATTTAAGAGTTATTAGGCTACCTGAAGGCCATCATCAAAAAAAGAGCCTGGAAAGCATCTTTTAAGAAATTATCAAGGAAAACTGCCTGAGGTCCTAGAACCAGAGGGTAAAATAGTCATTGAAAGAATCCACTGATCACCTCCTGAAAGAGATCCCAAAATGAAAACACTGAGAAATGTTGTAGCCAAATTCCAGAATTATCAAGTCAAGAAGAAAATACTGCAAGCAGTCAGGAAGAAACAATTCAAACATCAAGGAGCCACAGCCAGGATTCCATGGGATTTAGCAGCTTCTACATCAAAGGATCATAAGGCTCTGAATATGATATTCCAGAAGGCAAAAAGACTCGGATTACAACCAAGAATCAACTACCCAGAAAAACTGAGCATAATCTTTCAGGGGAAAAGATGGACATGCAATGAAAAAAATAGGGGACTTTAAAACTTTCCCTATGAAAAGACTAGAGCTGAAGAGAAAATTCTATCTTTGAATATAAGACTCAAAAGAAGCATAAAAGATAAACAAGAATGAAAAAAAAACATAGTATTCAACAAGATTTAAACTGTTTTCCCTACACAGGAAGACTATACTTGTAACTCTAGAGAACTGTATCTCCATTAGGGCAGTTAGAAGGAGTATATAAAGAAGGAGGGTATGGGTATAAGTTGACTTTGATGTGATAACATTAAAAAAAAAGGGGGTGAGAAAAAATATTGTACTGAGAGAAAAGGAAAGGGAGAGGCAGAATAGGGTAAGTTACATCACATGAAGAGGCACAGAAGACCTATTACAGTAGAGTGAAAGAAGGAAGAGGATGAGCATTGCTTGAACCTTATTCTCATAGGATTTGGCTCAAAGAATGAATAACACACACACTCAGTTGGGGTATAGAAATTTATCTTACCCTATAGGGAAGTAGGAGGGAAAAGAGGAAAGAAAAGGGAAAGGGGAGGTGATAGAAGAGAGGGCAGATTGAGGGAGGTGGTGATCAGGAGCAAAACTCTGGTGAGGAGGGACAGGATGAAAGGAGAAGGAAAAGTATAAATAGAGGAAAATAGGATGGAGGGTTAGTAATGTTAGTAATCATAACTGTGAATGTGGATGGAATGAACTCTCCCACAAAACAGAAGAGGGTAGCAGAGTGGATTAAAAACCAAAATCCTACAATATGTTTACAAGAAACACATTTGAAGCAGAGAGATACACACAGAGTAAAGGTAGAAGACTGGAGTAGAATATATTATGCTTCAGTAGAATTTAAGAAAAAGCAAGGGTAGCAATCCTGATCTCAGACAAAGAAAAAGCAAAAATAGATCTAATTAAAAAAGATAAGGAAGGAAACTACATCTTATTAAAAGGCACCATAGGCAATGAAATGATATCAATACTAAACATATGCACCAGGTGGTATAGCATCCAAATTCTTAAAGGAGAAGTTAAGTGAGTTACAGGAATAAATAGAGAGCAAAACTATACTAGCGGGGGACCTCAATCTCCCCCTCTCAGAACTAGACCATAAAAAAAATAAGAAAGAAGGTAAGGAGATGAATAGAATTTTAGAAAAGTTAGATACGATAGACCTCGGAGAAAAATTGAATGGGGATGGAAAGGAATATACATTTTTCTCAGTGGTACACGTTACCTACACAAAAATTGACCATGTAATTATTTTTTTGTCATTGCACATTCAGAAACCTTTGTCTGTTGCCAAATTTTTCACAATTTCATATGGGGTTTAAGAAGTTTAAGTTTTAAGAAGTGCTGCCCTACACCAACCAAGATAAGGTTGAAATGGGTACATGATTTAGACATAACAGATGATACCATAAACCAATTAGAAGAACAAGGAATAGTTTACCTGTCAGATTTATGGAGAAGAGAAGAATTTATGACTAAACAAGAAATAGAGAACATTATGAAATGCAAAATGGATAATTTTGATTACATTAAATTAAAAAGTTTTTGTACAAAAAACCCCAATGCAACCAAGATTAGAAGGATAGCAGAAAACTGGGAAACAATTTTTACAGCCAGTGTTTCTGATAAAGGCTTCATATCTCAGACATATAGAGAACTGAATCAAATTTATAAGAATACATGTCATTCCTCAATTGATAAATGGTCAAAGGATATGAATATGCAGCTTTCAGATGAAGAAATGAAAGCAATCTATAATCATACAAAAAAATGCTCTAAGTCACTATTATTGAGAAAAATGTAAATTAAAACAACTCTAAGGTACCACCTCATACCTATCAGATTGGCTAATATGCCAAAAAAGGAAAATGATAAATGTTGGAGATGTGGGAAAATTGAAACACTAATGCATTGTTGGTGGAGTTGTAAACTGATCCAACAATTCTGGAGAGCAACTTGGAACTATGCCCAAAGGACTATAAAACTATGCATATCCTTTGATCCAGCAATACCCCTACTAGGTCTGGATCCCAAAGAGATAATAAAAAGGGAAAAGGACCCATGTATACAAAAATATTTATAGCAGCTCTTTTTGTGGTGGCAAAGAATTGGAAATTGGGGGGATGCCCATCATTTGGGGAATGGTTGAACAAGTTGTGGTATATGAAAGCAATGGAATACTATTATGCTATAAGAAATGATGATCAGGTGGACTTCAGAAAAACCTGGAAAGACTTGTATGGACTGATGCTGAGTGAAGTGAGCAGAACCAGGAGAACACTGTACATAGAAATAGCAATATTGTATGATGATTAACTATGATAGACTTAGCTCTTCTCAGCAATGCAAGGATCTAAGACAATTCCAAAAGACTCATGATGGAAAATGCTAACCACATCCAGAGAAAGAAATATGAAGTCTGAATGCAGATTGAAGCATACTATTTTCACTTTTTCCCTTACACATGGTTTTTCTCCTTTGTTCTGATTCTTCTTTTATAACTGACTAATGTGGAAATATGTTTAACATGATTATACATGTATAGCCTACATCAGATGTCTGTCTTTGAGAGGGGAGAAAGGAGGAGGGAGAAAAATTTGAAAACTCAAAATTTGAAGCTCAAAATTTTACAAAAATGAATGTTGAAAACTGTCTTTACATGTAATTGGAAAAATAAAATGCTATTAAGGGAAAAAAAGAAATGAAACGAGGATGCTTCACCTGAAGAGAAGAGTTGGGGGTAGCAATGTGAATATGTGTGTGTGTGTGTGTGTGTGTGTGTGTGTGTGTGTGTGTGTGTGTGTGTGTGATAGATATCTTTGAACATCTGACAGGATGTTAGGTGGGAAAAGGATTAGAATTGGTCTTAGCACTTCAGGGAAAAGCAGATTTTGGCTTGATGTAAGGAAAAACTTTCTAACTATTAGTTTTCCAAAAGTGGTATGGACAGGACACTTGGATCATAGATCAAAGGAAAACTAGATGACCATTTGTTAGGGATATTGGAGGGGATCCCTGTTGATTCACAATTTGGACTAGGTAACCTCTTATTTTCCTTCCAATGCCAAAAAGAAACAAAATGAATAAGAAAGTTATGTTCCATTCTATGACAATAGTAACTACAAGAGTGTTCCATAAACCATACGCATCACCCCATCACGTGCACATTGCAAATGGAATGGGGGAAGGAGGAAAGAGCTTGGTGCTGTGACCTGGGATACCTAAGACTGAGGAGAGTGGGCCCTCAAAAACCAACATGCTGTCTTTACCTTTGAAGCCCAACTGGAAAATCTCTAGCTCAAGAAAGCTATTCCATGGGGGCAAGGTATTAGCACTGAAAATA